AGATAATTGCGAAACTATTGTGCAACATGTGGGGACATTTATAAGTGGAAGTACCAGGTAGAATACGAACACACGACCACCGAAGCAACTGCTAATGTTTTTCGACCTTTAATTAAATAGAACGTGTTTTTATATTTGCTCCGAATACAGCAGGAGTTATGCAAATTGCCGCTAATGAAACCAAAAGAAAAAATATGGTAAATTATCTAAATGTGGCGGTGGCAGCGTTTTCAATTTAACTGTGTATTTACTGCTATGCTTCATTTAATTTAATAACAATTATTACTATTCAATTGTGTTAAAATCATACATTTACCAAATTAATATTTAGATTATTTTGTTGCTAAAGGATTTAGTTCTTGAAAAAGTAGTTTATCATCAACAATATGTGTACACAATTCAAGACATAACTATGAGAATATATAAAAGTACCTACGAACATGAACAATTTAATGTAAAAAAATATCGCCGTACATACAGTTTCATACTCAGTTAACGAAACTTTATGAAAAAAAGGCATCATGTTAACAATAATATTAGTGCATCAACCCGCAGTCACATTCCTAACAATTTAAAACGCATTACTGACAGGAAATCGTCCTTCTTTACCTGAATGAAAATATAAACAATGTATTCGTATATGGCGAGCAAGCAGTTCGATAATAACAGATATTTTCCGTTCGAAACGGGTTTTTTTGCAGCTTGGTTGGAAATAGAAACCACGAAAAGTCGATACGTTGCAAAAAAAGAAATGATATTCATTAGTTTTATTGTTGGGAAAAGGACGATAATGGTGCTGTGCATGACAAGGAACGAATTAATGATCTTTTTCAGATCAATACATTAAAATTCGAATGAATTACCTATCGTCTAATATGTACAAAGTATGAGGTAAGTGCTGTACATTGTCTACTAATAACAGATAAATACAAAATAAGTATATCTTTATTATAAAAGAAAATCAATACCTGCAGGTATTATTTATTTATAGAATAATTACTATTTATAAAAGATTGCAGAATTGGTATATTAAACATTTGTAAAGTAAAAGTAAAGATTTAATCAACATAGTTTCTTAATTAACTCTAATTCTAGTTAATTATGCTAATTTTCGAATGCTTTTATAGGTGATACCTTGACGAGCCGCCACTGTTGGTCAAGTAATGTCCAACACATGCATTGAGCGGTGCAAGTTATACAAAAGGGGTTTCGGGGATATTAATGTCTTGGAGCACCGCTCGTTCTTACCACCCTTCCACAAGCTATGACCAGCGCATAGATCATGCATTTCGAGCCACCCCCGAAAGCCGGAGCGGCCCTTAACTTACTACCGCCCGATTTTATTGCTTAACCAAATATAAATTAAATTAACTACTGCTTCAGTAAGCAATTAAGAATTAAGGGAGTTTTGCGCTGCGAGGAATAAAAAGCGATTTAGATGACTTTTATTTTGGATGCAGCAGCCCGGGGAATAAATCACTATATAATTTCGCGGTGACGACGGTGCTTTTCCTTCTTTTTATTTCCGTATTTGGAAATATCACCCTTTTAGATATTTACCTACGGACCAGGAAAAATCTTTAAATTATATCCCTTATTTGTGCTGGTTATATTTTTGAACTTTACATTGAATTTTTTAAACTATAAAATAACCAAAAAAAATACGAAATTTTGATCGTTTGATCCAATGACACCATACATCAGTAATTCTCCATAAATTAAATGCTTCCGAATGAAACTCTTTAATACCCAATTCAGTATGGATTTTTTCCCACAATCGATCAGACAAATTTGTTACATACGTCACGAGCGAGAAAAAAACATGTACAACGACCCAATAAGCCTTTTGTTTGACTGCTTGCGTTTTTTTAAACCGTATGTATAGCAAACGAAAATGGATTCGCTCTCTCTAAAACGTGAAGACGTACGCATGATGGATCGGGCTTTTGATATTGCTGTTACCTCGACATATCTGCCTATAACTAAACCTACTAGAGAGGGTTTGTAGCAAGGAGATCGTAGAGAAAAAAATATCGGATGAACTTTATTGTTGCTTTTGCCCGATATTTTTTTTTATATAACGTACTAAACTCGTATATTAATTACTTACTGTAAATAGATGTAGTAATCCATTGTTTGTGTTTAGATATTCTTTTGCACTAAAGAAGAACATATAAATTTACACCACACATATCCGTATGCTTGACGAAGAATGACTGACCGCCACTAATGTTAGTGTTACTATCATCAACTGCTAATTTAGAAACCCTTTTAAACGAATTATATATCCTGGTCCGAGCCATTAATGTAATAATTCTGTGTTGATTTACTTCAAATGATCTACTGGTAATGACGAACTCATTTGTGAGGTTAAAAAGCAAAAGCATCAATGAAAAGATTTTGTAAAATGCTACTAACTTAATGATCTAGTCTAGTAATTTGTCATAGTATTTTTAACACTTTTTTTCAACAATGAAGGTGTAAATTGGTCCTTACTACTTGTTGACGATATTAACTGCTTTTAAATTGTCAGAAAACGTAAAACAGTTCTTAATTTCTTTCATGGTGTGTACAAATCATTTAGAATATTAACTGTATGATTAATTACGCTCATTTTTTTAAAAGGATATTTTTCATTTTCTAAAGAAATATGTTTGATATTGCATCAAACCCAATTAAAACAGTATTTGTATTAAAATCAACACATGCGGTAGCAAACTTATGAATAGCCGATAATACAGATAAGTCGAAAGATATGAAGAGTACAAAGAGATTCGAAAAAATCATTAATCATAAGACTACTGTTAAATCAACTATTCACCACAAGCAACCACCCAGAAGCCGCAGTCATCGGCAACAATAAGTGCTGGTGTCAAATATACCTAACAAGTGAACAAAACAGTTAAAACCAACTCCAAAAGCTTTCATTGTGGCCGAGCCGGTTCATTAAAAACCTAAAATTTAAATTAAATAATGGTAAAATTGAAAACAATCATCTGTTAAAATGATAATAATAATTTTGAATATACCATAAGTGAAATGAAATGAAATCAAATGATACCTAACTTAATTGTTGAACTTTTTTTAATGCCTAATATGTTCATTTTCCAACGAATGCGTTTAGTATAAAATAACATGAGAACAAGCGACCACGCTAGGCGGTGTATATCAAAATCCTTTCCCATCTTTAGCGCATTAAGCATCGAAAGATGCAGGAACGGCACCATGAACAGCGTAGGACCATGGAGAATGACCATGTGTCTTAAGACGGCGGCCGCAATGTCCAAGTGTAGTATGTAAACTGCCGTACTTTCGGTCAGAAAGGACCGAAGGGTTGACTCATTTCCTGACCAACTCTTGATTAATGATTCCTAATAACTACGCTAGAATGTTTCGTTTCGTATTAGTTTTCGGATTGTGTTTTTGACGTATACGATTTTTATACAGATGTGCGTCTGGGACTTCGGTCTTTGTCAATCATACTTGCTTGAAACGCGTATTAACGACCCGACAATCCCGGCTATTTATCAAACGCATGTAACAAAAGAATCAGAGACTTCTTAGCGGTAGCAAGGCCGAATCTTCGGTAAGAAATGCTCGATACAATAACTGACTGAATTCAAATATGTATTCATTAAAAATGATCTTATCTGAAGTTCTAATTTATTATGGGTTTTAGGTGTTATCTCAACTTTCAAATATCTACATATACCGGTTGGTCCACGGCGATTTAGACATTGAAATAACACGAGTGCAAGCGAGAGAGTGTGTCTGAACATTCTAAAATCGCTCAAGAGGGCGAGAGATGGCATTATAACTACATGAGCGTATAGGTACTTGCTCGAATTTTCAAATTGTTCAGGATTGTTCTAGAATCGTTTAGAACTAGTGCACTATTTGGAATAGTCTAGGATAAACGAGAAAAGTCCAGAATCTTTAAAAATGATTTTAGTGTTATTTAAAACATTTTTTAGAATTTTTTGAAATTTAATTTGAATTTTAGGGAAGTGATATTCCTAAAAAATGTTAAATTTACTGAAAAAAGTTTTAAAATCATCTGAACCAACGTCAAAATTATCAACAAAATCATTAATTACTTGTAAAATCATTTGAACAATCGACGACTAATGTTAGTAAACTATTCTAATAAAATTGTTAAATTTTAAATTGATCATCTGAAAAATTGGCCGATTTGTCCTAAAAAGTGGTTAAAGTTAGTAAAAATAATAAATGAAATCGTTGTGTTAACTTTTACAGTCTTGTAATGTGAATGAGCTTTTCCTATATGTCCCCGTCGTCGCTGTTCGACCCGGAATAATTATAGCGGAGTATATTAAATTAATATTTTTCCATGCATGTACAAAATATTTTAAACCTAGAAATCCTAAAGATTTTAGATAAGAGGCTGTTTGGTACCTTTACTCTAAAACAGTACCTACTGAATATAATTAATATTGAAATATTCGAGTATCGCGGTATCGGTTAGAAATAATTCTATTATATCAATCGGTTATTCGAAATCGAATCGAAGATTTAGAATTGAAAAGCAAGGAAACCTAAAGAAGTATCAAATGATAATAGTAGATACTTACGCCCCTCCAGGCAGGCGATTTCAGAAACGCGCATCGTCAATTTCCTCGACGCTCGGCGTCCCTGTGTGTATTTAACTGCGTTTGGAGCTCCACGCGGTATCACAACATCCCTGTCCGTCTATCACAATCCATCATTATACATCGCCGGTATTGTTGTAAACGTTATAATAATAATAATAAGTATTTCTAGTTTAACTATATCAGATTATACATGTATACGTAATCGTGTTTCGTGTCGTAAGATATTTACGCGAATTAGCATACGTAATGAAGAATTAACATAATTCGAGGTGAATCGGGAATGCATTCGATACAGAGTATAGAGAATCGGGCATTTTTTTATAGAATTTTTACCTGGTAATTGCCCGACAGGTCGTCACGCTAACATTAGAGCCCGCCTCTTCGTGACCGAAGCCTGCCCACAGAGCTGCTCGCGCCGATCTCGCATTGGTTCCTGCTGCGACCACGTGACCAGCCATCATCCTCCTCAATGAGAAAGAAACAAAAACAACCGTCACTAACAGTAACTACGAACATACACGTAACACGTAACAATCGTTTCCTATTTCTCGTCGCTTGAATTTCGCGGGCTCCGTTCGCGCGGTTCTTATACGCGGAAGGAAAAAAAATAGTGATCTATTGACAGTGCATTGTGATGTTGAGTGCAACGGGAACTCGCTCGTCTATTATCAGTCGATGAAAATCAAGCATTACATCCGGATGCCGACGGGTCACTTAGAGGAGGACGACTTCGTGGCCGTGAAGACGAGATCCAACACTCCCGAAGGTGGTGCGGCCGGCGGAAGCGGGACCTTCTGGTTGTCCGCCGTGCCGGCCGCACCGCAACCTCTGGAAGGTTGCAACGAGACGGGATTCATCAACAGCCAACCGTCCATGGCTGAGTTCATGACGGCCTTGCCGCATTTGTCCGGCGAACTGCCCCACGGGCCGCCGATCAGTCCCCAACAAACCCCACCGGCCGGCGCTTATCCCATGGACGTGCCCCACGGTATGGGATCACCAGGAGTCAATGTTCCCGAATACCCATGGATGAAAGAGAAGAAAACTACCAGGAAAAACAATCAGCAAGGTAAGTGATTAGGTAACATTCATCAATCATTTTATAGGAATCACCATTTTTACATTTATATGAATCGATGCCAGCTTCAATAAGTAGTAAAAAATTAATAATTATTACTATACCAGTAGCTATGTAGTAGTTAATGAACGTATATGCAGTATACGTGGTTAATACAATTAGTAAATTAATTACGCTTAACTAATTAAAAATTATAATTAGATGATAAATTATACATACCTGTAATTGATACGATTAATTAAATCGTTGATTTAGGTACTTAAGTATTCATATAATTAAATAATTTAAATTGTGATGCCATAAAATTCCATATTTTTAATATCTTTCCACATCTCGTATATGTGTTCAAAAAATATATTTATTTTTAATTTTACATACTGCACTATAACATTAGTTAACTATTTTTTTAATTAACCTCTCTGCTATACAAATTTAAAGAATCTTCTTACAAATAGAATTTAAAAATAGGGGATGCATGATGAATGCCAATAAATCATACTTGTTAATAAATAAATGCGTGTTGAGGTATTAAATATATAAAAAGAAAAATAGTTGTATGAATATTTGAGTACGATTCGTGTCGTTATCACACGTTAAACTCCCGCACTAAATGTGCAAGTCTCAAACTGAAACAATGCATAAAACGTATATTAGAGGTAAGTGAAATTCCATAGAAAAATGGAAAGAAGGAAACATGTTTTCAACTCATATATAATAAAACGAGGCTTAAGTATAATTGTCTCATTTATAATGAAATATCGCTAGGTATCTTCCATTTAATTGATTAAATGTATTTCGAAAACTAGTATAAAGGGGGAAAATGCAGGGAAATTAATTAATGTAAAACCGAAGGAAACCCATCGGTGGTTCGTGCGGGTATGTCAACGCCTACAGAAACATTGCATGTTGCAAGGCAATAATATTTTGATGTCGTTCCGAAATATGATACAAACCCAACTGACGGAAACATCACGAACACTTATTATTGACATCATTTTAGTGTTCTCAGCAGCGGCCATAATTACAGCCCGACCGTTCTCTTGGCTTTTTTTAACCGTTTTTTTGTTTGTTTGATACCCATCTTGTTTTTACGAATTCGCTGTTGTTGCTGGTACGTTGTAATACGAAAATGTTTTTTATACTGGACATAATTTTATAATAGCACACCATTTTTTATTGTAATAAACGGAAGACGGTTATGTCAATCGGTTTTGTCCTATAAAATAAACAATTTTTGCTATATGCAAGGTTTATGGATACCTAATCATAATTTTCAGATTAATATCACAAGTTTATTGATGTAATAATCTAATAACAATATAATATGAAATCTAAATGAATTGATGCCAGAGATTAAAATATTTCTAAATTGCAATTCGTGACTAAATAGGTAAATATTAATAATTAAAATAAAACACGTAATCTCAAAGCAATTAATTCAAATAAAAATTTTAATTATTCGTACGTTCAACCGATGAGAATATTCTCCGAGTCGATTTATAACGCGTATTTGCATTATGTCAGTAACAAATTAACTTACAAGATTGTATCTGTAATTGAATTATTCCTAATTTATGATTAATTCGCCGACCGGAACTATGAAAAATGAATAAATTAAAAATTCATTTTTTATTTTAACTTTTACTGCATGCTTTTGCATATAGTTTCATTTCTCGAAATGTGCACTAAGCTATATACAGATAAGTGCAAATTTGTGGTCATGGGTGCAACAAAGACATCTTACATTAGCCTCACATTAATAGAAAAATGAGCAATATTCTGGGATTGCAACTTCCTCACTTTAACCCCTGTTATTTTAACAAGGTTTCTTTGTTTAACTCACAGAATTGAGCATATTACGCAAACACATTTGCTTTTACCCATATACATAGATATCTATATAAATATAATAAATTGGGAAAGATTTAGGGTCTTCTTTATAAGTGTTAACTTTATAATCACTTTGCTACACCACTAGAAGAAGAATCATAAATAAATTGTAATTGACGGTCCATTAAAATCAAAATCGACTTAATGGTAGCAAATTGAAATAAAGCAATAACCATTTATTAGTGATTACGAGTTAATTTTAAAATACGGTTCTGTTTATTATTCGAAACGGCGTTTAGTTAGTGGACCTGTGGATTCACATTCGTTAAATCGGTAGCAACATCGTTTTATGACGAACCATTATGTCAGACAATGTTAATTGAATGATATTGCCCCCCGCTATGAATGTTTCATCATTAGTGTTACATTATGACAGCTACATTAAGTAGCAATTGTGTAAAACTACATTAATGATTTTAAACATTATTTTTAAGATAGATTAACAATTATATAGTCTATTATTAGGTTAAGAGCATTTACATTAATTATATTTATATATAGGTGTTGTAAAGTGGTATTTAAACTTTTAATAAGTTTAATATCTAAGTATTGCAGCTTGTGAAATGAAGTGTAAAGTTTTCTTTCATTATTTTTTATTTATTATAATTTTTATTATAACTATGTTGTACATAGTTCCCCAGATCCATATTTATTTGAATAATTTACTTCGGTTTTTAAAGTTTAATATTAAAAACGATTCTCCGTTGATTGCTAAGATTTGTAAACCTCATTAAATTAGATAAATGTTCACCGAACATGCCTTCCCAATAATTGATAGTTAGATAAATGTTAGATCGTTTCTCCAAAGGAAACGTCTAAGAAACCACTACCGATAAGTAACACAATAAATTAGAAATCGATCGTTAACTATAAACGAAGAAAGGAATTATTTACATCATTTTTAAAATAATTTCAGCAATAACTCATTGAATTTTCCTCATGTTAGTCCTCACGAAAAACTCTCACGAAATCCGATCCTGGAACACAATGATGTTTGATCGCACGACAATGCTAAACACCGCATCGGGACCGGGCACAGGGTGCCCAGCAGGAGAGCCCTTATGACTGCAGGAGGGCCCGTTAACACGGCACCGTCGGCAGCGTCACGACGCCCGCCAGGACGGGATGAATTATGGCCGCGCTCGACATCCGACACTCCATTTACAGATCATTCTGGTGAGCCACTGCCCGCCTGGCCACTTCATCTTTCACCAACATTGTAAGCACGTCGTTAATGCCTCGTCAATTGCCCTCCTGCTAAACGTCTTGATAACACACCATTTGTAAACTTTATTGGTTTATTTATCGGTTCTGGTTTCTTAGTTGTTTCCCTTATTCCGTTTCCTCTTGGTAAACTGTTCGACCGTTATTTGTCAATTTCATTGTTAATCGCTCTACATATTCGTATAAATTCCGCTTCAATTGCGTTTTAGAAATGATGGTAAATTTAAATCATATATTATATAACATGAGCAAATTGGATTGTTTCATAAATAAACGGAGAGTAACCTCGCATTATGTTAAAATTCTTTTTAACAATAAAATAAATAATCGTTTAATGATTATGTTTCGAGTATCTAATAGGTTCGTACTCATTTATTTGCTTTAGATAAATACATAATGATTATAATCAACTCGTTTAAAATAATGTACAAACTTATTAAAAAAATGTAAAGCTGTCTACACTACAAGAATAGCCATTAAAACAATACATCAGAATAAGTAATTCGCTGACTAACGAAATTGCAATTATCTGAACCACTTTGCACCTTCGTTTTTACCTAAAATTACATTATATTCATTTCATGTACGTATACGTAAGAACCATTATCTTTTTGGTATTATTTCCAAAAAAATAAATCGAATCTGAAAACAACTTCTGCGCTTTCACGGTCATCAATTTATTTTTTACTCCGCCGGGATAAAAATCATTCAACGTTGTTATATCCGAGGAGAAATGCGGCTGTCATCCCCTCTAGAAAACAGAACCGTCGTGCACACAGGAGCAGGATCCAATTTAAAGGATTCTCAGCACAGTAAATCCGTCTCAAATTAGAGATAACTCCGCGGTAATCCGATGCTCAACTACTCATTGGCTGTCTTGTAAACTGGAATTCGTTCCGTCCTTTTTTATCGCTCGGCAAACGTTCACCTGAGCGTTTCGCTTCCTTGTTTCGCGGCATTAGTGTATCAACGAAAACAAAATCCACTTGCCACTTGTCTATGCAAAATTCCGTAGAAATTTATTACTGATGGGCTTATTTACTATTCAATCGAGTTCGGGCCGTTTTGTTTTAATCGTATTGGGATTTGGTGAAATTCTACCTATCTACATTTGGTGTTGGATTAACGCAAATGCGGTTTTAATTTTCTATGTTTTAATTAAATCATTGAATGTATCAACTGAAGATACGTACATATTTTTTAAACAACGATTTCCTTTAATATAATTTGAGCTCCTAAAAAATGATCGAAACATATGCCCGAAATCTAAAACATTGCGAAGGGCCAGGGTCAATGATGTCGATATGATGACGCGTCACCTTGCGGCTACAGATTGATTTATGGCGGTGCCCGGATTAATTAACGGCATCGAGGGACAAATCCTGCAGCGCCCGCACTGCCCTCTATACCAAACATCCCGACCACTGTCGGCTGTCGCAGGACGATCATAATTGTTTCTTGCACGGTGCGTTTCAATCATCAATCACCGACTGCTCAGTTTCTCTTTCCCTCGCGCTCCTGCGGATAAAATTCTCATAACCAAATATTAAATTCGCAACAATTTTGCATCCTTGGTTCGTGCTTTAAGGAATTGGTCGATTAACGAAAATTTGATACCTATAGAAAACGAAATTGAGTTACATAAAAGTGTTAGTAGATAAAATTGGAGAATACAATATTGATACAACATTTCTTCTATAAGCTTCAATTTACGAGCTTTATAACCATTGAAAGGATTTGCGGCGTTCAAGTGTATGGTTAAAAGCATTAAAATTATGAAGTTGTTAGCCATTGGAAGCAACTACCCCAGTTCTTGTTAAACTATAATCAGTTTTTTTTTTCACCTGCTTCTCTCTCGCAATATAATTCAGCGTTCTTGTAGGCGCAGAGAAGAAAAGGAGATTTTCGATGCAAATAGGGCGCTGGAGGGAAAATGAAGAGGATAGAGCGATTTTGCGATGACACGAGATGTTGGCGGTATCGATCACGAAAAACAAACGGGAGAGAAGTGACGTAGAATGACTTGCACATAACCGAAAAGCAGACACCAACTATTAATAATACTATCATCTCGGCGTACTGAAACATCTACGTTCATCACATCGTTGAGCTTCGATTCGAACGAGTTACTCTGTAACATGTTGGCCGTGGTACATGCGAATTTTACAATCAATTTTACAATTAATCACTGCGCTATTGTCGTCGAAGAGATTTCAGAATTGATAATGCCGTTATTGTTTTGCGACATTAAGTTATTATTAAACCAATTGTATTATTAGAATGAGGTTTTTTGTTGTAGTAAGTAGATTCTTTTATATTGGAATTATGCAGAATTCGTACTCTCTGAAGATCATTTTCATATAAAACCTCGCTTGCTTCGCGAGCTTGAAATTGCCATAACTTCATTTATAGTTTGATTTGATCAATAAATGTGCAACGGGATGCACAAATTTAATCTTGTTACTATTTTTTCATCAAAAATATATATTTATTAAAATTGATATCCCAAAGGGTAAAAAGAGTTGATGACTCCAACCGATTTTTTGCGAATATCCATTAGTAGCTTTCAGTTAAATGTACCATTAAAAAAAGAGTTAATTCAATCTTCCAACCAAATATTTAGCATGCTCTGTTCAGTAGCAGATACAACTTATTAATCATAAAGTCAAAGGAAGATGTATAAAACCTGAAAATGAAAACCGTTTGAATAAATAACTTTATCGGAGGATATAAAAGTGAAACATCACCGCGTACACGGCGCAGCGGCAGCGCGAGAATCGTATAGGTATAATTTTTCAAAAGAGCAAAACGACGGAGCTTGTCGGGGCGTTCGTGTGAGGAAAGCTCCGAAGATGACGGTGCAAAATCGGACCCTCTCTGGAGTATAATGAATTGATCCGCGTGTTTGCCCTCTCGGCAGTGACCAGGTCTCTCCCGAGCTTACACACGTCTTTCGGCGAACTCTCACCTCTCCAATCTGGTGATCTCGGCTTATCCCCAACATCCCACTGATTTTCGGACGATAAATTCTCCTTTCATGCTCTTCCATTCCATTAGAATTTTTAGTGCTAAACTAGCTACACATATTTGTTTTTTATTACTCAAATAAAACAAGAGTCTTTAGTTACTAATTATTTGAACATATGGGAAAATTAATTGTATAGTTATTATAGAATCAATCCGCGCATCCATTAAAGACGCGTTGTTTAAAACTTGATACTTTTTGTTTTTTTTTTTTCGTTTTAAGAAAAAAACATTTTGAGCGATGTCGAGCGCGACAGAACGTTCATAATTGTTTCTTGCATGGTAAGATTGAATCATTAATCACTGACTTCCCTTCGACCAATTCCAACACAAAAATTACTATCTTCGAGCGGCGACTGAAACTATGCTGGTTATAAGAACGTCAAATCGAATGAAATTTTGAAAAATTAAAACGAATTAATTCTCGACGGTTCGGTTATACTATTAGATTTTTAATACGTTCTTAGACGCCTCGAAAAATATGGTAAAGTTTTTTTTATTAATGCTCTCGGATGTTTCGATAATTTCGCCTCGAAAGCCGACACAGAAGTTTTTATTTTATACTTTTCATCTCAATATACTCGATCCCTTAACGCTCCGGCTAGTGTTTAGAGTTTAGAGAATCCATACAGGCATATTTGCTGTGATAATTGCTCTCATTAAAATAAGTCAAATCTATAATATTGTTTAGTATATAGGTATAATTTTTGTACCTATTCTAATATTTTTTCTATAACAGTAGCTCTGTTTAAAATATGGATCGTATATAGAATGTATAATAGCATATTAATCAATTATATGAGAAAATTATGAAGTTTTTTTAAAAGATTTCAGTAGCAGACCACCAACAATCGTTGAATTATAATGAGACGGCGATTTTGTTAGCGCTGACTGGCATAAAATTAACTACAATGGAAATGATCAAAACGGTTTTAAAGAAACCGCATCGCCGTAAATCTTGGAAGTTGGTGCTTATTTCGATTTATGATTAAGAATAATGTTCCGAAATCATTTCGCATGACTGTGTTTGAATGCAACTACCTATACCGAGCTGGTAGACAATTATTTTTCTCTAATTACGCCATTATACCGGCGTTATTTGAGATTTGTTGTGAATAAATGCATAGTAATATTTCTGTTGCCATGAATGAGCTGCAATGCGTATAAAATTTTATTCTATTTTAGGTAATTAGCTTTAAAATGGACACCTACTGATTGTGCTTTATGAGCTTTATTTAGTATTAAATTGTATAATATAAACTTCGGTCTAACCTTATTCTTTTAATTTAAAAAGCTGCACATTATAGAAAACTATACATGTATAGGAAAATGACCTTTTATGAAAAATTTATAAAAATATCATTAATTTTATGAACAGAAATAATATTCTTTGATTGAATTTTATTATATCATAACCGAATTTACAAATTTGGTTAATAATTTTATTTTTCTCCTGAATGTTATTGTTTGTTTCCTTTATATTGTATATACCTACACACATTGTTTTCTTATGTAGAAAAGTAAACGCATAATTCATTTTTACGAGTCCTTTCCTAGGGAGAACAAACCGAAGTACAGGGTTTTTAAACAGGCGGGAATATGCATGAAGTCCAAAGTCTAAAGTGATGGGTAATTAACTGCAAAAATTTTAAAGACGGAAATGTCAGAGAGTCAATAAAAGCGATGGCATATCAACCAAAAAAAGTCATCTTCCGCATGACGCTGTCTCGGAATTATGAAATGCTCTTTTGAGACACATTAAAATTAACATAAAGATTATAATGGCCCTTATATTATTTTTTTAAAGTGCGGGAAGGTTTCGTCGGGATAGGATTTCGCACAGGATTTCTTGGAAATAAATTTTATGAATATTCAAGATTCACTTCTCGAAAAAATTACAACTCGAGCATTATATAAATTATTATTCTAGTTGCCTAGGAGCATTGAGATATCATACAAGTACAAAATATCTTTTAAGTAATAAGTACATTGAAAATTAATTTTTAATCTTAAATTTTTCAAATAACTCAAGTTTTGTTTCTTTCATTGCAGGGTCAAGAAAAAGTAACAAAAAACATTCCTCAATGCTTTTTGGTAACGAAGACAATGACGGTGAGCAAACTAAATTTTGTTACTAAATTCTTTCTAAATTAAATCCATTATTTTTTCTATTTTCTATACATTTTAATCAATTGATTGTAGCATATGATAGTACTCATTTCATACTAAAGTTCAGTGGCTTGGTGATTTACTTAAAAATGTTTAGTATTTTTAGAAAAAATACTTTTGGGATAATTAACAAAATATTTACAAAAAAAAATGAAATCATTTCCTTCCTGCAAACCCCATCAACAATACCGCAACAGGTTTCAAAACACTAAACCACTCCATTCAGTCCACACAACAGTCATAAATATATCGGGAGTGAAACAAATGTGAAGGAAATCTGGATAATCTGGCAATCCTGATAGCAGGTATTACATATTGTCGACTGTCATCGGCCGGATGCGGGCACGCGCTGCTTTTGGACCATTCCTTGCCTAAGGAATCCTGTCCAGTAGCGTATCACACGCATATGCCCTCCTAAGGGCTATATTCTCACCCTAAAATACAAAATTGTCTTCTAAAATTTTTTTACATTAAGCTCCAAATTAGCACCGAAAGAAGTTCATGTGGTTACTAATTTTTCCAAGTTACTCTTTATTATTTAACCCTAACTAAGAAATGATTGATGATGATAATTTCATGCATTATCTTTTTAGTTCGGCTACTGCTTTAATAGAAATGTTGTTATTGCGATATTTTCTCATACAAGTCATGAGAGATTTGTTACGGTCAATAATCCATCGGTTTTCCAGAATATAAAATGTTGGTTACCTACTACATTTTAATACGCACCTACCTCATAAATACGAATGTTAATTACCAACACAAGTACTTATTAAAACTTGTACATTGATTTTAATGAATCTAATCTTGATGCATAAAACGTGATGTAAGAAATTGAAAGAATTATTCATGTTATGCAGTAAGCCAGGTATTTCATCATTTTGCTATAACCATAAAATTTCAGATGTAATTTATTTATCTATGTTTTAAAAGATAAAAATATAATCTACGTCCCTGTAGTTTAGTATCCCGTATTCCAGAATTATGGTGCCATAAATCGCCGCTAGCGCGCGCTGTCGTCGACATTGTTACTTGCACCACTCCACTAACCACTGCTAACAACTCCCAAATTGCCTTTTTGGTATCGTTTTTGAATCTTTGCACTTCTCCATTTAACTCCAAAACTATATACAAGAGATTTGAAGTGATATCGGTTTTAATTAACTGTTTGCGTATAGATTCGGAAAAAGATTCGATAAAATTATGACGTCCCTAAATTTTACCGTTAATATCTCCGTTAAAAGGAAATTATATTTTAGGGTTAATCTTTATTAATTTTAATTTTCATGATAATAGGATTGGTAATTAACTACCTTTGAATTTAAATTGTAAAATTGTAAATATCTATAACGATATTTACCTGTTTTTTTCCTGTTTCTAATTTATACGAATTAAAAAAGGAATATCCTGCGGCGCTCCCCGGCCGCAAACGGCAAAAAGAAAGTTCTATTAAAAGAGGAATCGCATCCCGAAGAAACATAAAACTCTTAAAAACATTAAACTTTTAAAATAAGAAAAACAAATTTCTTGATAATTTGAATATGTGGCTGAAGAAGTAAATCTTACGCCACAAGATGTTTTTATCGTTGAGTCTTTTCTCGAGTTCCGCAAGGGAGAAGCGAGGGTAAAAACCCTGTGCATGTAGATTAAAAGACGCCGCAACGAAACGAAACCACCACCAAGTTAAATATCGCTGCACCCTCCCCCTCCTCCTGCATATAAATCTCCGGCAGGTTCCACTCCACTCCACTCCCGCCGCCACAGCGATAATATTTAACTAAATTCTTGCTCCATATAACTTGCCAACCTGAATATATATTTCGATGTCTGAAATCTTTTTCTGGATTCCTTGGAATTAAAACGTTTAATAAGGATTTATTTCATTTTTTCACTTGTATTTATAACGTTGAAATGTAGGGTAGAAAGTAAATGAAAAATTGTATTCGCTGTTAAGCAGATTTACCATTAGGTATATTAAAATAATCATCTTTTACTCATAACTCTAACATGTTTGATTTATTCTGTTTGGTCTACTTCTGTAATCCTCATAATCCATCAACAACATCCTAACCCCATTGTGGAAAGGACTTTTAACAATATAATCTCCCTGTAAGTTGAGTATGAAACAGTAGCCTGTCGGCTTGTAACGTTGCGGTCAGATAAGAGGCACATAATAATGTAGATGTAGAAGGGACTCCCGCAAGAACAGCCATCTAGATTGTAGATGCTAATAGAATGACCGCTGGCCGAGCGTGACCCTTTTCTCGCCTCCGTACCCCTTTTCCGTGTAGACACACACGCTGACCGGAAGCAAAAACAAGCAAAATGGATATATTTCCTTTTTGTTCTCGCCGCTACGGCCCAAACTTGTATGAAATAACTGCCAGATAGGTCCTTAGATATCCCGCGGGCTGCTAATTGAGAGCTCTGCGAATTGAATGCGATTATTACCGGAAAGTGGGAGATATTGCATTCTACAAAAAAAAACGATATTAATCAAATGATTTTTGGTTATCATTAAATATGCGAGAGTAAGCTCTAAATTGTACCGCTCCTGTATTTCTACCAAATGATTCTAATTTTCCCTATGTTGTATAAGATTATGCAAGGCAATAATTCACCTAAAAAATAATTATTGGCATAAATCAACCGTCAAGAATTACGAATTTAATGCATTCAACCAACCTTCTGGTCGACCAACCTCGAGTCATAAGCGTATATTTTTTATTTCTCATATACCTACATAACTTGTCTTCTATTCAAACGCATTGATCAATCTTTCGGTATTGTTTATAGAAAATATCCTTTCATGTCAGGATTATATTCTTCGTCGCGGACATGCAATAGTTCAATTCATTTATCCTTATTTAAAAATTTATCATGTCATTGAATACGTTGCTGTCCATAAAAACCGAGCGACAAAATTAATGTATTGGACATTGTAAAATCGTGAAAGACGTCCTATTTAAAGATTTATTAATATCGATACGCTTAGTATTAGATGTTCTACCTATTTATTTATTTTATATTACATAAAAGACAATAAAGCTTAGTATAATGTTTACTTATTAACCACCTACATTTAGATACATTTTGAAGTAATATAATGAAATGAATAGTAATGAATTGCATGTATATTTATAAAAAGTACCATTTTGACCATAACCAGAATTATATGGTTAAATAAACTAGGTTAATCAGGTACTGACGTCTCTAGATGAAATTTTGAATGAGCTATATGAATATTACCTACTATTAGTTCATTCCGGTAGATCTGGTGATGACATCAGGAATTGGAATATTGAATGAGCTATACACAAATTTTCATGGTACATAATTCCAGGATATTCACTATTGTAAATACATAAATATTGTATTGTGGAAGCTTCAATTCATTTTATTCTTATGAACTTGCTTGTCAGTCATCGAAACATCGACAAGTAAAAGTAGGGAACTGACACCATTTGTTTGTTAAAGCGCCCGACAAGCCAGACACAAATAAATACACTTGCGTATAATTAGCATCGAATAAGTGGGTATATTATATCCGAAGTGTTACAGTCAACTTTTGACAGAAAACCCACAACCGTATTTCTTTTATGTATGCCTACCTATTTATGTATATTGTAAGCCAATACAAAGAGACATAATTGGTTTTAAATCCCTTATTCGTGCTGGGATAATAAATTTGTCGATTTTTGAATGTTTTCAAATTATCTATTTGAATATAGAGTATTAAAAAATAAATGGGCGAATCCGATAGATATAAAAATAAAGATCGTGCGGCGTTGCGGCGATTCGCGGGCTGCATGCGCCGAAATGCAAATTAATCAATAAAATAAAAAGTGAATGTAGATCAGAAAAGTAAGGGAAGTTATTCCAACTGGTTTAAAAACCGTTTATATTCGGATTGAATTTTCCAACCCCTCGTTTCCGAACGCGCGGAATAAGCGTTCTCATTTAATTTTTGTACGCAAGTATTAAAGCCGTAAACGGGGAATAAAAATATCCCGATACATAGCCGGGAGATGAGGGTTTGAAAAGTAAAGGCGAACGCTGGGGGAGGCGCGTGTAAAACTTTTTGATTGACAGCTGAGTTTGTCCAATCGCAAGGCCGGAATACTGATGAGGAATACGTCAATCACTCGAACAACCCGGCTGACGCTTCTACTCTAGACACTGCCAGACCTGCAGATAACTCCCTCGATACTCCGACGAATATCCAGGATTCTATCTATACAAACATTTCGAATTTATTTTTAGCTCCAATATTATATTTAGGTTTTTCCTTTATACCTATCTATAACCAATATAAGGCAATACGGTACAACTTTGCGATTACTTTTCAACTTTTTATTTTACCTACATATAACTTCAATACATTAAATACAATTCAAATTTATTATGATACAACAATTTGTATTTTGGGATATCCAATATTCCCCCTTATCCAATTAATAGTCCGTTTTTCAAGTTACTTCTTATTCCTGAACAACGTTCGCAACATTCGCGCGTCCTGTCGACGGAACTTTAAACAAAAGTTCAAAATCAACTTGCAGGAATACGTTTCAGTTTAATAAATTTCATGCAGCATTTGGCAATGGAAGAGGACTCATGCCAATGGCGACAGATACCATGATATTAAATTCACCTGGTGACAGCTGTTGATGTAGTTTATCATTCGCGAATAGGCGACGTGTCAAACTTTGCGAAAATATAGGAATAAATTATACAATAGTGATTTAAGAAAACAGAAATAATGTTAAAGAGTCGTTTGATGAAGGTTTTGTTAAAGCAAATTAATTAATTAAATGAAGCTTTTTTTCTATAAAATACCTACGCATTTTAGAGGAACGTAAATGAATGATTTACAATGAAGGTTGCAAAAGCTTCCTCGTTTATTATGTTTTTATTTCGGTTCCGGAGGAATCATGTAAAATATCAACCAACCAAGCAATTGATGTATTGACATTAAATACAACCTGCTGTGAACAAACGTTTCCATCAAATTTCCTGTCGTCCGAAACTAAACAATGATTTTGCGCATCATCATAATAATTACGGTATTAAAACATAACAATTACATAGCGTTTGGCCATGTACAACTGTACTTTGGTAGGTGCAGATTGCGAACAATAAAATGTTATGATTACAATTACAATTATGTGACTAGGTAGATGGAAGTCGTCACAGTTGTAAGAACAATAAAAGATTTCCTAGCGTGTACGAATTTGTCTGTTTGTGAAATAGGGAAATTACAATTGGATGACGTGTTATTATATAGTTTTTAAGAAAAATTAATGCCAAAGTTCATTTCCTACTTTCGACAAAATCTTACATTTTAATTTCTTTACTAATATAACTTAAACGTTATACTACCTACTTGTAAACCAACTCCCACAAAAAGAGAAATTTTCTTTCAGAAATTTGTATTTTGTAAAAGATACCTGTCATTAAAATTGTGCTACTTCTCTTGCTATTAAAACTAGATATAGATATACATATACCTAAATACTATTATTAAATTGATATATATCTACTATTAAAGCTCTTTTAGGAGACATTACAATAAAATACAAATTCCTAATACGCAGTTTTAATGCATTTACATAAAAGGAAAATGTCTTGGTGATTTATTGTTTGAAAATTCGCATAAAACAATGTAGAATATAACTTAAAACTCACTTCATATCAAAAATTAACAATGAATATCAATTTTTTATTCTTCGAATGACCGAAAGTTGCTTTCTCTATAATTTACAATAATTTTTCTTTTTTTCAGAAAATGGTCTTCCAAGGAGACTCAGGACAGCCTATACGAATACCCAATTATTAGAATTAGAAAAAGAATTTCATTTTAACAAATATCTCTGTCGACCGAGGCGGATTGAGATCGCTGCATCGTTAGATCTAACCGAACGACAGGTAAATTTTAATTGATATTAATGATTTGCCGATTTTTCATTTACTTTATCGGTCAAAGCCGAAAAAACTAAATATACCTGACTTTTTTGAACCGCATTTAATCATTACTTAGAATTATTAAGTAAAGGAAGCAAGAAAATTGGTAATTTTGAAAGTTCTTTGAAGCTAAATTTGAAAGTGCTCAAGACTTTATCTTGGAACCTCAAACTTAGTAAATATGAATGATTTAATACAATTCCAAAAACTAACGTAATAGATAAAGGTACTTCTTATGTTTAAGTTACATGCATCTGTATTACTATATCATCAAGTTAGAACGTACCTATTGTTGCTACACATCTTTCGTAATAAATACCATCTACCTTCTTTGTATTTAGGTACTTATTGCTATAGGCTATAGCCATTCAAATGTTAATTTGTTAAATGTAGGTGAAAGTATGGTTTCAAAACAGAAGAATGAAGCATAAGAGACAAACGTTGGGTAAACAAGGCGAGGATGGCGACGACAAGGATTCGGTGACGAGCGACGGCGGTAAAAGTACGAAAATCTCTGATAAATTCCTCGAAGACGAAATGTCGAAGAAAAGTTGCCAAGGCTGCGAAATGCCGACGGCCGGTTTGTGCAATTCCCACGAAGAAATATCCGATATCGCTTCCAACAGAGGCAACAACAACAACACCCCTAGCGCCACCAACAACAATACACATTTCAATAACAATAGCAACGGTGCCAGTAGCATCGGCAGTACAGGTAAAATTAATCGGCCCGGCTCTTCCGAATAAAGGGAATCGTTTAAACTGTTCTAAATTGCAGGTAGTTTCGATAAATTAATGAACGAAGAGGATTCAAGGTCGAACGAAGGAAGCGGATCGCAGACTTCGCCCAGGATGAAGAAATCCTCGGCGACGAACAACGTCGTCGTTAAAATCGAAGCCAGACGAAATTCGCCCAATTCATGTGATAGAAAATTAGGAATTAGAAAAATTTCGCCAAGTCCTAGTCATAGTAAAGACGTCAGTGTCGGACTGAATTCCCACGAAACCATTTCCGCTAAGTCTTCGCCGAAGAGCTCTTCAGGAACACCAGTCATACCCACTGGACCCTTAAGTAAGATCCAATACCGAGCCTGCTCACATCCTCTTTTTTCCATGAAATTTCTATTTCACTAATCTAATATAAACCTTCATCAGAAATTTCTTCATCAACACTTTCTTTAGTTTATACCCTTGATTATGGCCCATAAAGCTATGATTAATTTTTTGCAGGTTTAACCAACACAATGGTGTACCAGCAAGCTCCGAGGTCGTCTCCAACAACAGCCACTGCTATAGCTTCCGCTACAGTTACAATTCAAAATATTCCAAACACCATTCCACCGTTCGCTTCTAGGGGATTGAATTCCAATCACTTTCCTAATCAGTACAACATGAATGCCCAATCTGATTATCATCATCGAGCTGATAACAGATCGAAGCACTATCAGATGTCGCAGATTTATTCAACGGATATGTACAATCCGGATCATTCGACCATCAACGATACTCATGCTTACCAACGTGCACAAAACCATTCCAACAACATGGGTCACGTCAAATTTAATAACAGAAGGCAAACTTATGGGTACGCCAATCAACAGCAATATTACTACAATAACCAAAGCGCTGTGGAAAAGTATACCATGGGTCAGAATAATTACAACCATCAAGGTTACGGTGAGCACTCCGGTTATAATCATTACGGCTACGGTTACAACAACGATGGTGGCGATGTTAATCACGTACATAATTCAGTACAATTAAACCACGAGCACAGTGGAAATTATTATCCTTCGGAAGGAGTACTACCTGTAAATAAAGTCCAGAATCCTACGGATTATCAAGGAAAAGTCGGTTATTACGAGAATAATTATCCTACGAATCATTTGCCTCAACAAGGAGGAACGACAGGTATGAGAGTAATTACTAATTTGATTTTAGAAAGTGCTTTATTGAAACGTTTGCTATAAATTAAGCATGAAGTTACAACCTATATTAAATATTTAGTGCAATAAAATAAAAAAAGTTCTAAATAAAAACCTTGAATAATAAGATTAGCTGTTATGGGAAAACTTGTAAAATATCTGTTTAAAAGTTTTTTAACTAGTCATCAACAAGTCTTCACGAATCTGGACGATCTTTGAATATCTAATCACTAATCATTTATCTTTTCTTCTATTATGATACTTTGTCTACATGTTTTCAAATTTTTTTATGTCGAAAGATGTGTAAAAGGTTAATATAACCCAACCAAGGTCTCGCTGGCTTCGCAACTTCACCTTATTATTTTATCTGGATTGCTTTAACCCATGTACATAAATATTGAAGTTGTAGAAAATTTATGTTTGTTTTTACAGGAACCCAGGAGCCCACTTACATGCCTAACGAAGTTTTCCCGGGAACCAACAATAATGCGGGAATAATGACGCCTCCGGCCAGCGTTCCGGCGGAAACGAACGAAAACTACGGGAATTTTCAGCAGTTCTATTCGGGCGAAACGCCGAATCAGGTGCCCGTGCCGGGCGAAAGTAGCAACAGCTCTTCGGACTTCAATTTTTTAAGTAATTTAGCGAACGATTATACTCCGGAATATTATCAAATCTGATTCAGTGCAATTAAAAAATGTATGCAGTTATTGCTGTTGATGCGTTTCTTTGTTGTTGTTGATTGTTTCTCAAGTATTATTAAATTTTTCGTTTCGTTGTGGTTACTTATGTTTTCTGGTAAAAATAGGATGCTTGTACAGACAATTCTCTTCTTTGAACTAAATTAATTACTACAATTAATTACTTTTGAGGCCATTCTTTGATATGTTCAATGTTATTTGCATATACAAGTGCATTATTTTGATCATTTTGCAGATTGAATATGGCTTCTTTCATTATTTATAATTTTTGTACTATGGACATACAATTATATTGTAATGTATTGCTTTTTATTGTTACATTTTCTGGTACTACATTGAATCTACCTGAGTAATTAATATTAAGATTACAATAACTAAAAAATTATATATTCAGGATTGTTATAAATTTTACGTACCTACTCAATTATTAACAAATTGTTTTTATTTTTTATTATTAGAGTTGTCTGTAAGAGGACGTTAAAATTGCAATATTAAAATAATTAATTACGTGACAATCTCAAAAAAACGAAAATATTGTTTAAAGAGGAAATAAACTTAAAAATGTGTTTCTGACTATTTCGGATTAAGATATTTTGGATTAATTACCAACAAATATTCATGGTTATTTACACCTTAAAATAATAATTACATTTAGAAAATTTTCAAATTTTTCCAGTAATATTTATTTATAATATACAACTAGACAAAAACATTGAAGCTTATTTTTTCTCTTAACAATATAACATTTTAATATGTTTTCCATTACAACAAAAATTGCCAATACAATCATTTTAAACTGATTTGAAACTGTACAGTCTTAATTAGATATACTGCACAGGGCATACCCTAATATAAATGAATATTACAATTAATTGTATAATTTTGTGAAAAATATATTCTAGCCTAGATTGTTAAAAAAACATGTGTAAATATTCGTTTTACGTATTACATTTTATTGTACAGTCCTAGTAATGCATTGGTACTCTAGCATTTTAATTCGAAATATAAAATTTAGCTCCAGCATCGTTTTATTTATCGACCAAAAATAAATTGGATTAAAAATCAAAAACTAAACTAGATTTTTCTATTTTTTTTTCCATTTTATCGAGGGTTGAAAATATTTCCTCAATTTGGCACGTGACTATTTGAGATAAATTCGCGCTAGACTATTCTCCTGCATGCATTGAATTTATAACCAAACGGAAAGAGAAGGCATTCCGGGTTGAATGAGTCACCCGGAACAGCGCCCTTCGGGTAATACATCACTGTCAGACACCTTAGATCCAATATGATTTGCTCTATGTATATTTCTCATCGTTTCAATCACAACCAACTTTGATACCTTCGCAAGAAAGTGTTTTAATTTACTAATGGATGAAATATGCACGAGCCAAATATACAAAACAAATATTTAAAATGCTTAAGGGGGTCGAATTTTCGTGATTAAAAATTTATTTTTCGTTGATTTTTATTTCTAAATTGAATTGAATTCAATATTTAAAAAGAGTCAAGTATGGACATTTAATTTATACTAGATAGGAATATGTAGATTAGTTTATACTGGGTAGTTCTAGTATACATAGGAAGTATGTGAACATTTATTTGTTTAAGTAAAATATAAAATATAAATTATTATTCTATTAAAGTTTGAATAAAGAATTAATGAGAGACTGGATGAGTGAAGAAAAGGGTGAATAATGAAGTTTATTTTACTACATCATAAAGGGTAGAAATGACTCTGGAGGGTAAGTTTGTAGTCCTTCCAATTATTTGGTTTGGCACCGTAAAATTATATGTAGGTAGAGCCCTCTAGTTGACAGTAGTAAAACTAAAGTCTCCAATTTCAAATTTTCCTGTAAGGATAATGAAGATAATTTTTAAATAATACGATAGAATATGTTCCAGGTTCCATTTTCAAAAAATTTTCCAGGAATAATGTTCTTCCATGTAAGGAATTATTTTTTTATCTCCTTGTAGCTTTATTAATTTCTATTCTCTTGCCCTCGATATTTCCCACCATCTTTAAAATGTACAACTTCTGAATAAAAACAAAAATATTCTCAAATATATTTACATAATCAAAAATTACTTACATACCTACCCATATATAATTTTATTTCTTTCATCTAGATTAAACATTTCTTTAGTAAAATAAACATCTTTATTGACAATTTACGTTTCACTCTTTGAACTAACATTTTGATTAACTTGACATTTCTTATCATCGGCCACTTGAGTATTCGGTGATGAACTACTGTCTCTCATACTGCTATCTTGATCCTCGAGAAACCTGTCCATGAAATCGGTGACGCCCGGATGCAAGGCGTATTTCTTCTTCTCCAGCCTCACTTTATTGGCGAAGATGTCATGTCGCTCGGACTTTTTCCATAAATAGTAAAATTGCACAAGTTCCCCCACCGACCTGGTGCGCACTTTATTTTGCTGGGTCAGATAGAAATTTTTGCCAAAAGCGCGCACACCAGCTTCGAAATTCCGGCATTCCTCTTCAGACCATGGTGACATCATATTTTCATTCCCCAAGCTTAAGTTCATTTTCAATCTTCTCAAGGCTTCTTCTACATTGTGACCGCATTGTTGTAGTAAATATAGGTATTGTTCGTTATCTCTAAGATGGTTACCGAGAGGTAGAGGAGGTTTATTGACACATTCCGCCGTCTTTAAATAATCTTCGACTACTGAATTTTCGATAACGTATGGGTCCCAGATTAGTTTATCGTCATTTTCGTAGGGTAGAGCGTCATCGTAATGGCATAGACCTTCTGGAACTTGTGCTTGAAAGTCGCTACCTACCATAATGGTTTTGAGGATGGCGTGATTTTCGATATCGTCTGGATTGTAGGTGTAATGTCCATCTTCTTCATCGTTTACTTTTGATCTCAGCAACCTGGAGGCGTCGGGATATTTGTCGTGGGAACTGTCGTAATATGGTCGTAAGGTCGGATGTCTGGTGACCTTGTTTATTCTACGGGGGCTCTCGTTTTCTTGGTTTTCTGTTAAATAAAGCACCTTCTTTTTCATTCTAGATATGACGAAATTTTCACCGGAAGACGACGAGTCCTCCCTTTCCAGTCTTATATCTTCTACGAAATCATTAGTTAGAGTTTCCACTGATGAATCTGATGATTTATCATCGTCGTCGGTAGTTGAATTCTTTTCCGCGAATTTTCTAGCTTTCTCCATCTTCACCTAAAATCACGAAATGTTACCATAGAAAAAATTTAACGAATTTGACTTACCGTGTGTTTGATGATTTGCCTATAAATTATTTCTTTCTTTCATGTTGATGTTTCTTTGTATGTGCTGGGTTTGTGTAATTTGGCACAGTTCGGGTGGATCAATACGTTTTACGTATTTAGGGGTAGATTCGTCTGGAGCGTTTTAGGGTTGTTCAGTCCGCTGTCTACCCTTTAGGGCTAATATTATTTCTTTACTACAGATGGCAGCTAAATAGGGTTTTCCATGTAGAAAATATACCTTATAGGGAGTAAATTATTTCCTTCAAATTAGGTGTAGTCATCTTGGAGTTAACAAGTTGCACCATTTATTGTAAAAGTCAAATATAATTAATTATAAAATTTTGAACTCTTAAAAATGTTGAAAATAATCGAAACTAAAAAAAGATTACTACTTAAATTTATAAACTTATCGATGGTATATCTCACTTGTCGTATCTATACCTATTTGGACTAATGCATATTTTGCTTATCCCATAAAAAAATTTGCATCAAGCCTATAAGTACATAAATAAAATTACCTGCCTAAAGAAAAGAAAAATCGCAAATGTAAATAGAATTCACAATTCAGCTATTTCATGTACGTTTTTCTTGAGTGCAATGCGTTGTCTCTGTCAAATACTGACCGTGATGAATTAGGTCTCTACGAGAATTTTCGCAGAACGTGTGTGCAAGAATTGTAATGTTATTCGTCCGAAATAACTTTTTTTCTTACTTTCTTCGCTCACATCCGACAACTCCATTTCCATAAAAATCGGATGTTGAATAGATTTTCGGATGACATTTTGCGAGATAAGGGTATCCGTCCATAACATTTCTATTAGGGGGATCTCGCCCGTTTTTCGACCAAAAAAATATTTGAATGAAAGACTAAATATTGGTAATAATTGGTATTGTTCAGAAACTGGGGGTTGATTCGGTAAAAGGCTCTGACACGGCAGAAGGCCGAGGGTGGCAGGGGGTGGAAAAAGTGTAGCCGACTTGACAAGCCATGATGGATCGGAACGGGGCCCATAGTTTGCTAAAACCTTTCAACTCAGACTGTGACAGCGTCCTATATACCAGAATCCAAGAACATACAACTTTCTGGATTAAGGGATATATCAGAATATTGCTTCTTACATTCAGTTAATTTCACTGTCAAACAAATTCCATTTTACACCATTTACACTGACTGAATACATAAGAAAACTTCAGTCTTCGTGTATAATCAAATTATTAAAAGCTCTTCGAAATGTTCAACTACTTTTTAATTTTTTAAATTTGTACCTAAGTTTGTATGGAAACATTGAATGAAGAAACATTATTTTTCTACGTTTTAATGATCTATCTAACTGGAGTTGAACTTCAGAGATAAACAGTTTTATAACGAAATAAACAATTGCATTAAATTACTATTCCACCTTAAAGACCATCATTTCCACCTCAAAGACTTGTGCTATATTATTTTATTAACAAAAAGTAATAGCAAATATTTAATTAAAATTTGAAAATGAAAAATATAATGAAATATGATAATGAAAATGTAATTAAACCTAGAGCTTAAGTTGGAGCAATTGTAACACGTATTTGTTACTTTGTAACAAATGTCATGGTAGGTCTCGTGGATGATCGTTGAAAGACGAAAAAATTCAGTTCAAAGAGAAATCAATTTATTCGATATATAGGAGATGGCAAAGAAAGGGCGTCAATCTGTCTTTACCCTTCTGTTCTACTTAACAGACATCAGTTCTCAGTCACGTTTTCGTTGTCGGACGTCTTTGTATTTGATTAATAGCTCTCTGTTATTAACATTGGTATCTCAATCCTAAATTACTGTGGGACAGATTAACCGAGCAACATATTTTCATTAAGATATTTTATTGTTCTTCCTTAGTACTGATTCAGCAATTATTTATTGATACGGTTTAAAGACAGTACCGGTGCATACCGATGTCTTACCTGGGAAATTTCGAATAATATCGTTCCGACTATAGCCTGTCAGCTCTTCATGCAATTACCATCAGAAATTCTGTCAATAAATCAGTTTAATACCCGTGTTATGTTCTAGAGATTAAATTCATAAAATTATTCGTTGACTGATGTTACTAAAAAATGGACCATAAAATTCAGTAGATGTAATTTGGTTTATAAAAGATACATTTCTATAATTATAATTTTAGAAAATATGGGTATATAAAAACCTTGTTAAAGAATCCTTTATAAAAACTAGAATTTCGAAAATGTTCCCGTAAGTTCATTGATGTAAATTTTATGCAAAGTGGGAGGTTCTCATAATCAGTTAAACATCTCGTGAAATTTTCAAGACGGTCGAAAGGAAGTCAGGAGTCAGTCTTGTCTACTGGATATCAAGTCTATCTTATCGGAGCGATGGCTGAACTGACACCGGCGTCATGTATACTGAAATGTGTTCATCCGACAACCGTCTGGGTCCGAAAACTGAACAAACCCGAACGAAATGCGGCAGTCCAATGTTCTCGTATCGCCTTATAAAATCTTCAGCTTGATCAAATAATTTACAGAATTGTTTTTTTATACATTCGAATTTTATACCAACAATAATAACTTTATAGTAATCCTTTGCCCACATGATATTCTAAAGGTTTCTTCTATAAATTTGACTTTGCACTCTAAAGAATTTTTGTGTTAAATATTCGTTAAATATAAACTCGTTTATTCAATGAAAAATAATCTTTATTTTAAAATAATATTTTAAATTTTTGGGAAAAGGAACGTATCATGAATGACAACTACAACAAAGTCAGCTTAGAGGAGATAATAACTTCCATACCTATACCTGTATTTTGAAGAAGTGACACTTTCCATTATTTCACGAGTTAAATACCATAAACAGACTTCGTCTGGCAGGAGTATTTGTTTACGTGTCTTGTAAGAACGTTTAGTCCGCCTCCTGCGGTGCCATTGTATACAAAAGAATAAAAATTAAATACCTGAAAATGATATTCGACGAGAACGGAAATCAATGAATGCGTTATAAGTTAAAAGAATTTCTGACCGAGGAACAATCCTTTGAAATCTCAGAAAAGAAATTATTTAAATCGAATAGCTGCAGACATTTCCTTCTTATATACTCGTAGAATACCAATTAATGATTATTTCAAAAAGAAATGATACTAAGCGGTGATAAAGGAAAAATGTGAAGCGACAGTGGCATTGCACCTAATTAACTCGAATATATCTGATCTAAAAGTGTCGACTTGTCCAAACCCACCGATTATAAATGAATATATGAAGGACAACCTGTCAATAGCTAATAAAGCTATTAAGAGAACAATTCAGATGAAATATTTTAGATTATACGTACATGTATGTAGCCCACATATGCATACCTGCAATGGTTTATAAAAAAGTACCTATAGTTTCTTACATACCTACCTACTTAGATAATAGGTATAGAAATTAGTCTATCTACTTCTTATAATATGTATAATGTGGTATCAAGTTATTGAGGTAGAAATTAAAAAAAAAACTCTAAGAAAGCGAACGAAGGACCCATCGGGACATATCGCGTACCCGTATCTAAATTCAATTCACCTTGAGCAAACATCAGCAGAGGTAAAACGATTTCGGGTCCCTACGTGATGTCTTTGGTCTCTAGAGACCCTGGCACTCGACGTAAACATCTTTCTAACTGAATTCCACCAGCGAGCCACCAACAGGAATTTGCTGTCACTTGTCGTTCCTTTCACGCGCTCTTTATCGGAATATATAAAAATGGCATTTGAAAAGCCCAAAGAAACGGGTAACAGTTTACGTTTTATTATTCGTTCCTTTCAAGACGCAGGGTTCGAGGAATGCGATATGACAGCGACGTGAATTTTCTACATAAAAGTCAACTAGAGGGTTAGGACTTTTAAATTGTTCTAGTATTTTATACTCTAATGTTTGTAGGTATACAAGTTTTGGACAAGCAGAAGATAAAGCAAACCGTAAAATGCAGCAAAATTATAATACAGAATCGATCGTACATGATAATATTAGGGTAGTAGCGATTTTTTCACACAATGCGTGGGATAACATGGGAATACTCTGGTCAAGTTTTCCACCTCGGAGCCCCTTTGGAACTATAGTTTCCCTAAGCAGAAACTGCAATTCTTTGGCACTTTTTTAGTTTTTGGTTATGTTTAACATGAATGAGTGGTTTTTCAATCGTGACCATGTAAGTATACCTTTCTCAAAGTAGATAGAATTTGATATTTTTAATACAATACTTACTGTAGGTACCTACTTATTAATACAAAATGAGCTTACCAGTACTAAACTATAAGAAGATTTTATTTTTGCCAGTAGGTAATCAATTGATTTGTGCTTTAAAGCAAGGTATTGGTGTGATAATTTCTTTACACCTAGGTAGGTACCTAACAGCCGACCAGTTTTTTTTGTCCTTAGACATTGTAATGAAGTGATCTACTCGAAAAAGCAGCAAATGTGAAATAAAAATGTTACGAACCGACGCGGTATAGAATGGATCTTGGAGAGAATGTGAGCGTGCTAATGGGTAGTGACGGGGCGAGTGATGGATCGGCCGGGAACCCCATCATACACAACCTAAATAGACGCCATGCGAGAGCAGAGTTGCCAGACCCACTGGTATACAATAACAACTACAAAGGCCGCCTGTTTCTCTTTTTCTGATTTCGTTTGTTTCCAAGCTGCCGAAACTTCTGGAATTGTTTGACGTGTTTTGTGAGACTCAGTGGACCCAGTGGCGCGCCTGTAAAATACTCTACTTCCTATGTCAGTTGACTAGATACCTACATGGAACATTATTTGATTAAATGTCATTCAAGTCTTGCATAGTAGATCATCAGACACAATCAATTTTTTACAGAACACAATCAGTAGTCAATCAACCAATCAAAGCTTACTATAAACAACCAAAAGCTTATTAATTAATTTGCGATAATACTCATACTTACATACTTGTATCTAAGATTCTTTAATCACTAGTTAATAACCATGCACTAAAAAATGAATTATTAAACACAATTAAAGCCCAATTTACGTATTTCCTAATTATAATTAGATTTTTTAGTTTACAGAACTATTGCTCTACTCAAACTGCAATGCATTAAAAGTTATAAAATCATTGTCTATGTACAAATATCTACAGGTGTGTGTACTATTATTGCTTATTCAAATTTAATATTAATCTGATGTATAAAATACATCAGAACCTATACGTTATATGCAAGGTAAACTTTTATTATTCAAAACTTGGCAACGTTTGCAGAGTTGAATAAGGAATTAAGTTGCAGCCACTCCATGCAGATTAGCATTATGGGCCGTTGAAGATTCCGCAACCCCACGTATGTGTGTGACCTCACAACGTCGCACCACCAGCTTAAAGTTAATTTAATAATGGAAGAGAATTTTAGAGGGAAAACGGGAAAGACAGGCTTTTCGTTTTTATCCATATTTTGCTTGAGAAAATAAACAAACATTTCATGAATATGTATATTAAAAATTATAGGAAGGTGTTATATTGAGGTCATGTGTGATAGGTAATTTTTGTAGCTTTATAAACTGGAAATATTTTTAAATAATTGCCTCCAGCATCCGTTTATACCTATAAAAATGTGAGTAGCAGATACTTACAAAATAAACTTAATAATTTAATCTCCCATAAAAATTTATAATTTATAAAATTAGGTAGATAAATGTAAATCTTAGATAAAATTGAAAATTATTTACCTATTTGTCTTATTATCTACCCGACTTGTCAGAATATCAGTGAGCAAGCAGGGATAGGGTTGCGATAATAATCTGTGTAAAGTGAAGTGTAAACCACTGTACCCGCTCCTTGTAAGCCGTTCTGATAGGTTAATCAGTCATAATATAAATCCCAAATTAAAAGCTTTCAGTCGGGGTAACGTGCCGTAATGACAAAATTACTACATCTAGACATTTAACGCCGTGTTAAAATTTAAATTCGAGGGCTGATTTAAAATTTACGGCCGTCAGATTCGATGAAAGCAAACAACGCGGAATAAACGCAAGGTTTTTATATATTTGATTTTGAATTTTTAATAAGGTGTTTATTTTTGTTTAATTTTTTTTGTATAACTTTTTTTGAATTGACAATTTGTAATACCGATTAAGTTATTTTGGTATTGTAACTTTGTTTTGAATAAGTATACAAATAACTGAGTTTTGAAATATTATCTACTAAAATACGATATGCGGTAGGAAAGAAGCGAATGTAGCTAATATACAGAGGTTGTTAATTAATAATTGCGACAAACATCAGGGGGTGATTCTGCATGAAAATAATGATATTTTGCTATATTATATAAATATATACTGAGTGACAAAAGTAAAAGAACACCAAGAAGCAAATTTTATTTTTCATTCAAACTGTATAGAGAGTGTGTACAGCACCACGGTGGTGCAACACATTATTATTTTTTTTTTTAAGTTTGATGAATTAATTTTAATCATTTGTTTATTTTTCTCTTATACATGTAACTAGAATAAATGGTTAAATTTCAACAACTATTTTTTGGTGTTCTTTTACTTTTGTCACTCAGTATATGTCCGCAAATGCTTCGTTTTCGAGATACGCGCGCGCGGGTTGTTAAAGTTTCTTCTTAAAAACCGAAGATTTATAATTTATTTCTCTGAAACCAGACCAGACTAGATATTCAAATGACATTTGGTTGGTTTTGAGAGGTAACTATTACGCATTTTTTGACATTAAAATAAAAATTTTATATTCATCTTTGACGCGCATACGGATAATAATAAATTTTTCTTAAAGAAAAAAAAATAAAGACGCCACTGAGACATTTTTATTGAAAATTCAATTATGAATGAATTCCTCGTTCAATTTGTGACAAAAAAATTCTCTTGATGTTTTTTTTCGTGCGGGCCGCTGTTTTCGAGTGAAAAAATAAAACATCTTGATGTGTAATTTTCATTTCCTCAACACACGTTATCTAGTAGTGAAGAAACTTTAACACCCCGTATCTCTAAAACGAAGCATTTGCGGACATATGCTTAAAAAGCAAAATATTATTATTTTTTATGCAAAATCACCATCTGAAGTTTGATGTCGCACTTATTAATCAACACCCTGTATAATAAAACTTTTTTTAAATCACTCTCAAATAATATTCAAAATCTGCAATGTTTTTACAGGATTAATAATGATCCTAAAGGCGCGGATACACGTATCAAGTAGCTAAAGCAAAAGTTACTAAATTTAGTTACTTGTATATGGTGTGCGGTGTGCACAACTTGATTTAGTATTTACTTGTTCATCAAGTACCTAATTTAGTAAGCTACTAAATCAAGTCCACACCATACAAGTAACTACATTTAGATTAATGCCCGGTTTCTTGTCTCTGCGATAACTAAAAGTTAACCTTTTAATAAGTTAACTATTCAATAAACTTCAGTTAACCTTCGGAATCGGGTTTCTTGACTCGAAATCCAAGTTTAAGTATGCAACAACTATAACATTAACCCCTCCCTTACTTCTCAATAGCAAGCGATAGTTAAACGCGAAAGGTCGAGAAACCGGGCATTAGTATAACTTACTTTAGCACCTAGATATGTGTATCCGCGCCTTAACTAATTGGGATTACTCCTTACTATACAACTTTTTCATAGGTATATACAGGGTGTTTTTAATAACATGCTAATACTGAAGAGAATGATCCTTGGGCCCAATTTAAGAAATAATCTTCATATTCATTCAAAAAGCTAGAAAAAAAAAATACCAACGTATTAAAATTAAATAAAGCTACTGGAATATCTACCTACCTAGTTGTGCGAAAAATACAAGTAAAGCTGTCATGTCACCAGCTTCCTACGACACCTAACAAAAGCATTTCGAAGAATTGAAACGTTTCAACACAACAACGAAGACACAATCATGGCTGGATGCTGACCAATCGCCGTTACAGCATCGCATCTTTTCAAAGGCGTCCGCTCGCATTGGTGCAAGGATTCACGGGGCGCAGGACACGTGCACGTATAAACTCCGCCTTACGTGTGACGCAGTTGAATGTTGAACTCGGACGAATAGATAGAGAGTGGAGTAGAGTGGAGTGGAGTCGAAACCAGCACAGCACATACGTTGATATGCCGAGAGAATGCTCCGTTCAGTTGTATAACGGCCATTAGGTGAATATCGTCGAGTTTGTGAACAACAAAAACACATGTGTCGTGATATCGTTTCACCGAAATAGTGAATGACAATGATGACGATGGACATAACTATGTACGGTCACCACAACCAGCATAACACACCGTACAATTCCGGCGAAGCTAATTATTACAATTATTCTAGCGATGTTAATCATTCGTCGTCTCATCATCAATTCCAAAATTACTATTCGTCGAATTATCATTACGAAGATCCTTATTTGTACGGGGCATCTTCGGCGGATGCCGCTGAAGCTCCATCGTCTCCGCATAACATTAGCAGTTACTACTCGCAGCACGTTACCGAAACTCCCATCGTAAATACGGACACCGGCCTGACTTATACGAATCTAGATTATTCTAATGCATCGACGAATTATGCACAAAACAACTACAACGACAACGGCTTCACCGGCAGAGATTTACTGCACCAAAACGACAACTCCGAGGACGCGCAACTTCAACAGAATTACATACACGAGAGTAAATTTCAAATAGACGTTAACGAGAGCAATTATTTACTGAATCCGAACGTGGGTAGCTCGAACGCTTGCATGGAATTCCAGCATTTGCAGAGGTACAAGCAGGAAATCTCGCCGGAGGAACATCACAGATTGAGGCAGCAGCATGGGTTGCATCCCATGACTCCGGTTTCGATGCAACAGCCGGCTTTGCCGACCTACAAGTGGATGCAAGTTAAGAGAAACGTTCCTAAACCTCCCGGTAAGTTTATAGTTTTTAGTTTCTTACCATACACCGTCATTACGCGAAAACTCCAGCACTTAAACCAAAGGTTGAGAGCAGTTAATCAAACAAGTTCTAAAAGAAGACGGCGGCTCCTAGCGGTGCTGGGCGTCGTCAAAGATATTCCCATCCAAATTTGGAGTTAACCGTTATTAGGTTAACTCATTAACATTTTAAGTCTTAAAGAGAAGAGAATATTATAAGATAAGTACCTTCATTACTTAGATTGGTTTTCCTTAAAATATTATCTTAAAATAAATTTTTTGAATGGTTTTTATAAGCACGTTTTATTTCTTAATTTGTCATCATCAAACCATATTTTCATTTTCTTCCTTTAAACTTGAAACTATTAATATTTTAAGAGCGTTTCCACACGGTTCAATACATTGTTGCAATATTCCAATGCAGTTTTTATGCAAGCGTTAATAACAATTATCGTATCGCATAGGTATAGGTAGGTACGTATAAAAATATCGCAATTGAACGTTTGCAATAAATTGCTGCAATATATTGCACCATGTGAGCTAGTAGGTTCTATATAACTTAATTAAATTAAGAACCCATAAAATGCGACTTTAATTATACGGGGTGGTAATTAATACGTGCAACAAACTTCAGGGGGTGATTCTGCATGAAAAAATGATGATATTTTGCTATATAAACATATGTCCGCAAATGCTTCGTTTTCAAGATACGGGGTGTTAAAGTTTCCTCTTAAAAACCTTAATTCTTGGTATCGTATTGAGGAAATGAAAAATACACGTCAACATGTTTTATTTTTTTACTCGAAAACAGCGGCTCCTACGAAAAAAACACAAGAGAGTTTTTTTGCTACAAATTGAACGAGAAATTCATTCATCATTGAATTTTCAATAAAAATGCCTCAGCGGCGTACTAATATTATTTTTTCTATAAAAAAATTATTATTACATGTATGCGCGTCAATGATGAGCATAAAAATTTTAATTTTACGTCAAAAAATGCGTAATAGTTACCTTTCAGAACCCACCAAATTTCATGCAAATATCTCGTCTGGTTTTAGAGAAATAAATAAATCTTCGGTTTTTAAGAAGAAACTTTAACACCCCGTATCTCGAAAGCGAAGCATTTGCGGACATATAGGTTTATATAGCAAAATATCCATATTCTTCATGCAGAACCACCCCCATGAAGTGTGCCGCACTTATTAATTAACACCCTGTATACCTATGTATAGTTTAAATAATTGTATGTATAAGAAGTTTCATCATTTATTCTTGATGTTAACGTCATCAGTTCACAAGAATTTATCGAATGTATTATATTAACCGACGCAGTTTTCTTATCTTCATTTTATTGTTTGCTTACATATGTCAGAACTTTATCGTATTTACTGCATTGGCAAATAATGTTCAGGAACAAATAGTCACAACAAAAATATATTTGAATTGTTGGAATCGACTTCGTAACAATACTTTTACAAGCCGGAAAATAATCGTTTATTTCTACGCATCATGACATTGTTTACCAATACATTCGTGCGAGAAAATATTGGGAAAAAATTGCGCGACTATATCATTTTTCGAAGAATAGCTTATCGTTATTGCGCCTATAGGCAATTGTATTATAAATAGGTACTTTTTAAAAGAAATCTAAATTTATCATATATCTATTTCGAAATTATATAAATAGTTATTTTTGCGAATTCAACTCGATATGCGCCTTTGTTTTTCAGAAATCAGATTTAGGCTTAATCAATCCATTACGCCTTCTTTAAGTATAAAACTTAAATATTGCTTTTAAATTAATTATGTCATATAACTGGGAGTTGAATTGAAATTTATTTGTTTCTATACTTTAATTTGAACGTTCTAATAGGCACATTTAAAAAGATCAATTAATCAATTATTTATTATGTATTATGTATGCATTAGATATTTATTTTTATTTTAGAAAGAATTAATTACTTTTATATAAGTCTCTTAATTTGAGGCGATTATAATGTTAAACGCATATAAAGATTTCATGATCCGCATCACGTACCTATATCCGATCGGGATTATTGAGGATCATACATAAAATATGAGCTAAGCTTTCTCTAATTCAACAAGAGAATTAAATCATTTTTCACCATCGACGACAGGTTATAAAATTAAAACCGGTTTTTAAAACGTGCATTGACTTAATTAACTAATAATATGGAAATTAGAACTAGAAGTATATAGGTAAAGCTGTAATAACCCACATTATACCGCCGGCTTACGCATTTATTAATATATCTTACTCGCAATGTTATATATCGAATATTTTTTGACAATGATTTATGTGTTTGTCCACCTTTACATTTAATCTGGTTCGAATTTTTAGTAGGTAGGGGCGAAGATAAATACCGGTCTCGCATATCAGTATCTATTTAACTGGACCCTAAAAGTCCTTTCGATTTACCCCGCGAAGAGTCAATTCGCGCTTATGGAGTTACAATAATATGATAGATAGCCGGCGTGTGAATATAAATTGACTGGTTATTTTATAAGTATTTGAGAAATAAATTCCCTTATAATTTAACACTAAATATGCCTATGTGCTTAAATTACTTAATTACAAAATAATTGCATTTTTATAGCTTACGAAACATATAGTGGATTTAAATTTTCTGTATAATACCCAATTGTATGTATAGTCTCGTTAATTTTCTCAGAATAGGGTAGTAGGCAATAGTCTTATCTACGGTCGAGATCTTACATGCTATAGTTATCGATTTCACCCTAACGAAATATAATGAGTTAACTCTACTCAATAACCATATTTATTTTAAAGGTCTAATATTATTCAAGTAGATTTTTTGATTAGTAATATTAAATTACTGTATAGATAGTTATAGCTTCCATTATTAAATAAATGACGTAATCTGTACCTAATACACATTTACATAATATACATTATAAAGACTATGTATTATAGTAACTTTGATATTACAATATGATTACCTATAGTAAAATGATTCTGTAAAAACGAAAATTAAATAAGCTACTAATGTTTTTAATTGACAATATACAGGGTGTGTTTGAAGTAAGTGAATAAATTAAAGATGACTTTTTATGCATGTATGTACATTTTTTAGAAAAATGAGTCTTTTAGCGATATGTTAGGATTTTTTTGCCATACCTATATACTCATAACACACTCTTTAACTTTATAACTTCTAAATATCGACTAATTATAATCGCCAAAGATTCAATTTAGAACAACAAATGTGCAATATCTTTAATAAATTCAATACAACAGTTCTTCCATAAATCATACACTGACATCTTACTTATAGCTATATCTTCCTTATAAAATCTACTCGAATAAACCACCTAATATATCGTGCATGTTCGTTCGTGAATTTCATTATTAAATAAACAAAACAATTAGTTAAAATTTTATCAAAGCGAGTGATGAATCGCACTGTGACCAACTTGCATTTTTCAAGAAAGCCCCGGTTCGTAAATGTGGAGAGAACGCGGGGGAGCCGGCGCGAGTTGTACCTCATTCGAAGGGTTCGCATGTCAGATGAAAAAGTCCGACTTATGTGTTATGTGTAAGGTAAAGTGTGCACGCAACTCCGGTCAAGCAGACTTTTGACCGACAACCCACGCGTTCGAGACTACTGTCACACGATTTTTTATTTTTTTTATTAGGCGATACGGTCAATTTTGAAATATGTATAACGCAGGACCGGTCCGCGAGGACACGTCTCTCAACTTGATTTCATCTTAGATATTTATAATGGAAAATTATAAAAGGAAATGAAGTGATGAACGAGCACATGAAAGAGCTCGGTATAATAGAAATCTCCGACAATATGCTCATTAAAAGTAGTTGCAATATGTGAACATTTTCCAATGGTTCCGTTGGATTTGTATGAACTATTTTCTGTATTTAATATTAAATAGGTGGAAAATTATGTGGGTCTCTTTTTCGATATAATCGTTATCTAGATCCCTTATTGCCAAAGAATATCAAAATCAACTTACATGCCGATATTAAATTAAGGTAAATATGTATGTCACAATGATCAAATTTGATACGGTTTAAGGGATTATGTGATAAGATAAAAGGGATTACCGGTAGCAAATTTATATGAAGTAAAGCTTAAGTGTAATCGTAACGTGTACGTAAAAAAATCTTTTTTTTTCCGGCCCTGTTTTTATTGCATTTTAGATAATGATTTCCATATTATAGATTAACATTTCCTTTTTCTATTGAGTAGCGTGAATATTAGTTGTATGTAATAAATAAATCATTTAATTTAAACTTCTGAAATCTTCAATACCTTGCCCTTTTACCGTATTATTGAATATTAATTTTAACATATCTTTCCATAAATCAAAATAATAGTGAATCGGTTTAATGATAAAATTTAAAAGGATGTAAAGGATTTATATTTTATAATCCATTCACAACACTTGTACGAAATTAGATAAGATATAAAAGTACTTGGTGCGCGTATGTGCATACAGAAAATAATCAAAAATAAAATCAATAATTAGCGGGAATTTACAGATAATTCTGAAAATGAGAATAATCGATAATCAGTACACATAAATTAACGGGATTATAATTGTTAAAAAAAAGAGATTATAACTTAAAATATATCTTTATTTTTATAGATAATTAGAAGATCTTATTATTCTACCTGCATTGTATACCTACTTGATAACATATAATTTAATAAATTCCTAATTAAATAAAACAAAAAATCTTGGTAAACAAAAGACAGATAGGTTGTATGTGAACCAATTATCAAACACGTAAAGTCCATCTCACATCCAGCCTAATTCAATTTACTCCTAATTCATCTTATTAACTTTCCTTCTGGAAGAGTATAAATAGAAACCGAAGTTTTCCCTAAGTTTTTTAAGAGAAATTCGTCTTGTGAGAAACCATTAAGTTGATTAAAAAAATGTGAAATTTAAAACTAAAATACACAGCATTTCGCCTACTTTATAAAGTAG